TGAGGTCAGGAGTTCGAGACCAGTCTGGCCAACATGGTGAAACCCTGTCTCTACTAAAAATACAAAAATTAACCAGGCATGGTGGAATGTGCCTGTAATCCTAGCTACTCAGGAGGCTGAGGCAGGAGAATCACTTGAACCCAGGTGGTGGAGGCTGCAGTGAGCCAAGATGCACCACTGTACTCCAACCTGGGTGACACAGCAAAACTCTATCCAAAAAAGAATCACCCAGTCTCAGGTATTTGGTTATAGCAACAGAAAACAGACTGAGATATGTGTCCTGAACCTCATCAACATCCATACATATTTTAAATACCCCTTCCTTCAAAAGGTACAGCTCAATTTCCCTCCCCTTGAGTGTGGGTAGGACCTAGTGATTTGCCTCTAATAAACATAAATGATGCTATATCACTTGTAAGATATGTTATAAAAGGACTGTGGCTTCCATCTTGGGTGGGCTTTCTGGTTTATCCTCTCTCTCTCTCTCTCCTCTCACTCTGGGAAGCAAGCTGCCATGCTATGAGCAGCCCTGTGGAGAAGCCTACATAGTGAGGCCTACATGGTGAGAATTTCTGCATGGTGAAGTCTTGGTAACCAGTGAGAAACTGAGGCCCATCCATAACTGCATAAGCGAGCCTGGAAGCAGATCCTCCAGCCCCACTTGAGTCTTGAGATGAGTGTAGCTCTAGCCAAACATTTGATGTCAACCTCATGAGAAAACCTAAGCCAGAAGCACCCAGGTAAGCTGCTCCTGAATTTCTGACTCTCAGAGCCTGTGACATAATAAATGTTTGTCACTTGGGGATAATTCATTACACAGCAATAGATGACTAATAATTTGGTCACCGTGGTTTGTCAAATTCCCTGCAATAAGTAATCCCACACTGCCAGTACTTGTCTTTCCAGGTGACTTTCTACAAGAATTTCCTCAGGTCACGGCTTGTGGAAGAAGATGGCAGGAGCACTGAAGCCAGTCCTTTCTCGCACCAGCAATATGGTGCATGTAGTGAGGAAAACATAGCCTTCAGGGTTGGACTGGGCTGGATGTAGCCTCACTTAACCACATGTGTGATCTGAAACACATTACTTAACACCCAGAAACTCCTTTTAATCATTTGCAACTGGTGATAGTAAAACTACCAATATGGTAAGATTATATTGAGATTAATTCTGCCAAGTGCCTGGCACAAGATACACATTATAGTTCATTCTCTTTCTAGTTCCTTTTTCTTGTTACTCATGGCCTCAGAGTCTTTTCTTACTGCTGCCGATCTCAAAAATGCCAACCACTTACCCAAAACTCAGGTGTAAACTCCGAAGCCTTGTTCTTGAACAACGGTGGATTTATTGTGAAGCCACTGAAATTCAAGTATCATAGATTGTCCCATAATTAGCCCCTTTCAATGCCCTGTACCTAATTTTGTGTTCTTCTTTTTCCAAGGGGGTCCCTAATCACAATGAAAATGTATACGATTCTATGGGACTCAATTCAAGCAGTGATAAGAAAATCCATTGCGCTAAACACTTTATCAAAGTAAGAAACTAACATGAAACGAATTCAATTTCCAGCTCAAAGCACCAAACAAAGAACAACAAAGTAAAGCAAAAGAAAGCACAAAAAAGAAAATAATAAAGTTAAAGGCAGCCAGGTGCTGTGGCTCACATTTGCAATCCTAGCATTTTGGGAGGCTGAGGTAGGAGGATTATTTGAGCCCATGAGTTCCAGACCAGCCTGGGCGATGTGGTGAAACCCCATCTCTACAAAAAACACAAATATTAGCTGGCCGTGGTGGCATGTGCCTGTAGTCCCAGCTACTCAGGAGGCTGAAGTAGAAGGATCACTGGGCCTGGGGAGGTCAAGGCTGCAGTGAGCCATGGTCTCACGACCGCACTCCAGCCTGGGTGACAAAGTGAGACCCTGTCTCAAAAAAGAAAAAAAAAACTAAAAGCAAAAATTAATGAGAAAGCAAATAAACAGTGGATATAATTAATAAATAAAAATAGGTTTTTTAAAAAAAATAGCTAACAAGAAAAAAGAGGGGAAACCATAAATATATAAAATTTAAAATGGCAAGGGGGATAACCATTGGAACAAAAGAATTTTTTTAATTATAAGAGATGACAAATTTCTATTCAAATGAATTTGAAAAACTGGGTAAAGTAGACAGATGATTTCCCGGGGAGATAAAAATTACCAAAATTGACCCTCACTAGAGTTGGAAAGTTTAAATGGACCAATTTTAATAGAAGAAATAGAGAAATTTATTAAGGAACTATTCTGCCCAAAAGCACCAAGGGCTTTGACAGGAAATTCTACCATGCCTCCAAAGACTAGTGTTCTCTAAAATATTTCAGAGCCCTGAAAAAGAAGGAAAAGTTCCCAATTCATTTTATGAATCTAATAAAACACTGATACCCAAACCAGATAAAGAGTATACAGAAATATACAGACCAGCATCATTAATAAAATGCATTGAAATTTTTTGAAATAAAATATTAGCAAACAGAATCCAATATCACATTAAGAAAATAATACACCATGAATTAATGGGATTTATTCAATAATTCAAGGTTGGTTCACTATTCAAAATCCATTAATACCATAGTCCACATTAATAAACCTAAGGGGGAAAAATAATCTGATTATTTCCAGAGATACTGAGTGAGCCGTTGACAAAATCCAGTACCCCTTCATGAAACAAACAAAAGTCAACTAGGACAAAACAAAAACCCTCAAGAACACAGGAACTGAGGTATGCTATCTTTATATTTTATTTACTTATGTATTTATTTATGTCCTAAAGCTAATATCTTATTTAATGGAGAAACATCAATGGCATTTCCTCTAAGATCAGGAACATGACAAGGATGTTCTATTTCCACTACTCTTCAACATTGTACTAGAGATGTCCGCCAAATGTAATAAACAAGAGAAATCAAGTAGAGTCATAAGAGATCGGTAAAGAATTGTGAAGACTATTACGAAGATTACTTGAACTTAATCTTACGTTAATAAGACAGCTCTGGAAGGGCTCACAATAAATGCCAGTCATTATCTTTTTTTTTTTGAGACAGGGTCTCGCTCTGGCACCCAGGCTGGGGTGCAGTGGCACTATCACAGATGACTGCAATCTCAACCTCCTGGGCTCAAGCGACCCTCCCACCTCAGCCTCCCAAGTAGCTGAGACCACAGGTATACACCACCATGCCTGGCTTTTTTATTTTGTGTGGAGACAGGGTCTCACTATATTGCTCAGGCTGGTCTCAAGCTCTTGGGCTCAAGCAGTCCTCTCACCTTGGCCTCCCAAAATGCTGGGATTACAGGTGCAAGCCACTGTGCCTGGCCGCACTATCACTATTTGTAAGTGACACACTGGTGTTACCATTTCAGCTCCCTATGATTTCCAGTGATGTGTTTCTTTCGCCTCCCCAGAGTTCCCTGCCGCGGCAGTCTAGAGAAGAGCAAGCAGTCGGCTGTAATGGAAGGCAGGAGACACAGGCTAAAGTTGTGGCATGCTGACACTTGCAGCTCGTATGAGACCAAGCAAATCTGTTTACCACTCTGGATGCTGGTCTCCTCGTCTGCAAAATGAGGAGAGAGGCCTCCGTGCCCGACATCTCTCATATTTTGGTGTATGATTACTGTTGAACAACTGCTTGCCTCCACCAAGCAGACACGGGGCGGCGGGAGAAACAGCTCACGACCAGAGCAGAATAATCCCAGCAACTCTCCTTGCTTGGAATTTTTTTCTGCCTAATATGTGGCCCTGCCCCCACTATGAAATGTTCCTTTTGGATCAGAATTCGTGAACAGTGTCTAAAAGATTCTGGGAAAGCCTCCATAGACCTGGGACCTACAGCCACTTTGCCAGAGAAGAACGATGAATCATCCTGAATTTTGGCTCTAGCTTCTTTGTTAGGGCAAAACATAGAGATCCTGCCAGCTGTTGGAATGAAAGGAGCATTTTTCTTTAGACAGTGACAAGCCTGAGGCAAGGGACACAGTGTGATGAGAGTTCCCACTCAGAAACAGAGGTGCTCCTTGGAGTCTGACAAACTCGCCCCTTGACCAAACTTGAGTAGGGCTCCTCTGAGTCATCTTTCTTTTTCTTTTTTGATGTTTTTTGTTGTTGTTGTTTTGTATTTTCGAGAAAGAGTCTCACTCTGTCTCCCAGGTTGGAGTGCAGTGATGCAATCATGGCTCATTGCAGCCTCAACCTCTTGGGTTCAAGTGATCGTCCAACCTCAGCCTCCTGAGTAGCTGGGACTACAAACATGCCTGGCTAATTTTTACACTTTTTTGTAGAGATAGGGTTTCACCATGTTATCCAGTCTGGTTTTGAACTTCTGGACTCGAGTGATCCTTCCACCTTAGCTTTCAAAGTGTTGGGATTATGGGCATGAGCCATTGCACCCTACCTTAGTCCTCTTTCTGACTCTTGGACTCTTAGTTCAGTTTTAGCAAGAATACTGCTGAGTCAGTTTAGCAAAAATCTCCTATCCTTGATATCTGATCACATTCCTCATTCCCTACCCTGATAGCTTATCACCCTGGCCTGCCTTCAACAAGAATCCTAATGAGTTGGTCTATCAAGAATTGCCCCAGCCCTCATGTTGCCTCTTAGTACTTTTCCATCTACTGACCCCAACATTGCTCCTTGGCTATATAAATCTCCACTTGTCCTGCTATGTTTGGGGTTGAGTCTGACCCTTCTCCCCTATTGCAGAACCCCACTGCGGTGGCTCCTGCTTGAATAAGTCTTCCTTACCATCTTTTTTTTTTTTTTTTTTTTTTTTTTTTTTTTTAGACGGAGTCTCGCTCTGTCGCCCAGGCTGGAGTGCAATGGCACAATCTCATTGCAACCTCCACCTCCTGGGTTCAAGCAATTCTCCTGCCTCAGGCTCCTGAGTAGCTGGGATTACAGGTGCCCATCATCACACCCGGCTAATTTTTGTATCTTTAGTAGAGATGGGGTTTCACCATGTCGGCCAGGCTCATCTCGAACTCCTGACCTCAGGTGATTTGTCTGCCTTGGCCTCCCAAAATGCTGGAATTACAGGTGTGAGCCACGGCGCCCAGCCCATTACCATCTTTAACAATAGTCATGAATAACTTTTCATGAAGAATTCCCAGGATGGTGAACCACCTGCCACGTGAGCCTGTTCGATAATCAGGGATGAGGGATCCTTCACAGCAGCCTCTAAGAAACCAGGCGTGTGCCTGTTGGTCTCAAAGTCACCTTCTCTTGGCTCCTCCTCCTTGCTGGGGCCTGGGCGCAGTTCAGCAGCCAGGAGGAAGACGGCTTTGCGTTTGTAATTTGTGATTTGTGTGTCCCCTCTCCTTGCTCAGCATTCTACCCTCAGCTCCTGGTTCACAGCCTGGTCCCCTGGAGCTCCATAAATACCTGTTGAGTGAATGAGAGGATGGAGGCTCCTGCAGAGAGAGAGGAGTGGAAGGCGTCTTTGGACTTCAGACTTGGCTTTCCTGGCAGAGGCCTCAGGGAGGTACAACATGGAAACAAAGATGGCCTTGTCCTGGGCCCTTCCCTCCCCGCCCCACCGTCCTCCTCTGCATCCCACAGCAGCCTGGGGGGAGGCGGAAATGGACCCCTTTGTTCTACTTCCAGAGTTCCGCTCCTGCGGGGTGGAGGCCTGGCTGCAGCCCCCTCCTTCCTCTGCCAGTTCTTCCTAATCCTGAGGGATTTGCCAAAGCCTTGGAGACCCACACCGTGAGTCTCACTGTGAGGACAGGCCTCACCTCACAGGTAGCCTCAGAGATGGACATGGGTGCAGAGAGAAGAGAGGGTCCCCACCTGTTCCCTCCCAGTCCTCTTCTTCCGTGTTCCCAGGGCCTGTCACACAAGACAAACGAAACTGGGAGGCTCTGTCTATAGTGGAACCCAGGTGAGCACTAATCCAGTGTGGCCTGCAGACCTGCTTTTCCCTGGTCCCTGACATGAGTAAATTCAGAAAAGGAGGGTCAGTGTTTTGAGATGTTAACATGATAGAGTACTTTTATGACTATTGAATCAAATAATTTTTCAAGGGTTTGAATGGATTATCAGACCATGAAAAGATACAGGAAACTTGAATGCATATTACTAAGAAGTGAAAGAAGTCCGTCTGAAAAGGCTATGTAGTACCTGATTCCAAGTGTATGACATTCTGGGGAAAGCAAAACTCTGGAGACAGTAAAAGGACCAGCGGTTGCCAGGAGTTAGGGGAGAGAGGCATGGCTGGGTGGAGCACAGAGGATTTCAGGGCAGCAGAACTACTCTGTATACTACTACAGTGATGGATACATGTCATTATGCATTGTTCAAATTCATGGAATGGACTATACCAAAGGTTAACTCCAGCCAGAAGTCTTAGTCTCTTACCCCTGCCCCATTCTTAGCATTGGGCCTCAGTTTCCTTTTCTGCAAATTGAGGGGGTAGCATGATCTGACCTACCCAATTTGACAGTTCAGCTAATGTCTGGTTCTTTTGACAAATACAGGCAGCCTCTGGCAATTAGGGGCCATAGACTCCCCCTCCAAACCTCACCATCAAGATGTTCCAATGAAAGCAGGTCTTGTTCTGCCAGCCAGCCACGCTCATTGGCAAGGCTGCACAAAATAGTGTGTATGCTTGGGGAAGTCCTAGCTGTCCTCAGACTCTCAGACATGTAGCTTGCTTGAAAGGTTGGGGTTCTGAAGGAGCAGCCTGCATCTCGGTCCATCCTGTGACAGTCTCACAAAGTGGGGACCAGATTCTGATGCCTTATTGGTACAGAGGCAACGATGACTGTGCAGGGCTCCTAGCTGTCTACATTCATGAACATTATTTACTTCACCAGTGAAAACTTATTTCAAATATCCCTTATGCTGATTAATCAACCCTCGGGTGTAATTTTGATGACCACATTTGAAATGCTTTGTCAACACCTCTGGACTATGGATTCCTAAAGAACTCCAAAGGCAAAACAGCTGCCTTCCCTATGTATAGTCAATTAACCTATAAGCATGTGTATTATTAATGCCTAAGTATTTAAAAGTATATTACTACCCAGATGAACTAGCAGGAGATAAATCACATGACTTCTGAGTTCCCTCCCACGCTAAATATATGTAAACTATTGTATTACATATATATAAAAACATATATATATTTCCATGTGGTTTTTTTTATTTTTATTTTTCACTTTAATACTCAAAGTCAGGGAAGGAAGGCAGAAGTAGGTTTTCAGATTTCGCCATCTCTCAAGTTGCAGGGACAATTCTGTGAAGCTAAGACAGGCCCTCACTTGCTCCTGGTGTCCATCTAACTGATGCTCTCATGTTTTATGCCTCCTCTCCTCTTCCAGTTGTTGCTGGCAATTTCTCATTCCTCGGGATGGCTGAGGCCATCTCTGTGACTGTCCCCTCAAGACTAGAAGCCAGACACTGTCCACACTTGTGGTGCACACCTGTCTTCCTTGAGCCTTTCAGGTACATAGGGAGGCCTGCGGTGGCGGGTGGAGGTGAGCAATAGGGTTCAGAAGGGAAGGTGGAGAGGGATGCAGCTAGGAAAAAAACAAAAAAAACAAAACTGATTCCAGAGCTGTAAGAAAGGTGCAGCCAGGCCTGAGTGAGGGAAGGGAAGGCCAGTCCCTTCTCTTGCCTGGCTATGGGAATGGGACAAAGTGGTTGGCTAAGAGCTGTAGGGCTTCACTTGGAGAAAGCAGTTTGAGGATACACAAGCAGCTGTGAGGGAGAGAAGAAACCAGACTGGGCCACGTAGGCGGTCCACGGAATGTTGGAGAGCTACAGTGAGGCCCTCAAACAAGGGAGAGGCTTACCCGGGGCAGTGGGCCAGCCCCCAGTGGACAGCTACGGTGCCGACAGGAGGACTCCTAGAGAAATGGAAAGATCATGAGCCTGAAGGGGAATTCAGTTTCTGGGAATGGGCAGATAAGAACAGAGAAAATGTCATTCTGAGATGTCACTGTAGTTCTTCCCCAAACACAGTTGACCCCAGGCAAGAGACCAGACCCCAGCCTGTTCACAGCCCTCCATCTCTCCCCCATTTCCAGGGCTGTTTCCACAGCCCCCTTCCACCCCAGCTCAGCACCTCCACATGAGTGTCTTTCCCCTCCTTTCCTCCATCCCTTGTCCCCACCGCAGTTCCCACTCTGGCATCGTTCGTTGGCTTGGAGCCAGGGAATCTGTGGTCTGGGGAGGCAAGCTAGAAGTCTTAACAGCCCTTTCTTACAGGAACATGAAATGGCAAATCCATTTCACGTTTGGGAGGTCGAGGAATAGAGCAGTTTCTGGAGTTGGACTGCCTGGGTGTGAATGCAGCTCCACCCCTTAGCTGCGGAGACACCGTGGGCAAATTACTGAACCTCATTTTCCACACCTGTAAAATACGGACAATAACAGCTTCCACCACCTACGCTGTCATGAACACAAAATAGGAGTGTGTACAAAGCTCTTAGCATAGTAGCTGGTGCACAGGCAGTGCCCAGCAAGAAGCAGTACTCCATTTCTTATGTAACCTCTTTACTCAGCTCCTCACCTCCACTCGTGTCTGGCCCAAACTATTCTCCATGCAGCATGGTGATCTTTTGAAAATATGCCGACATCCATCACTCTCCTGATGAAAACTCCTTAACAGTATCTCATTGCTAGCACAGCAGGCAGCCTGCACAGCTACTGCCCACCGCTGCCCTGACTTGGGGCTGTGGTCACAGTGGCCTCTGCTGTTCTTCATCTCTCTCTACCTGGAACATTATTCCCTGACCCGCTAAGTCATGACTCAGCTCAAGTGTCATTTTCTCGAAGAAGCCCCTCTAACCACCTACTGCTCTTTTTCAGCAATAATCCTCAATCTGTAATTACTTCATTGATTTATTGTTCACGATCCCACGAGAAGGCAGCTCCATGAAGCCATCCAGCCAAGCGCTTGCTGAAGGAATGAAGGACACGTTATCCACGGGTTTTAGGTGCTTTATAAATTAAACCGGTTCAGTGGCCTGCCCAGTGAGCCTGACCACCCCAGTTCCAAGTTCCCAGCCCTCTGTACAGTAAGGCCTGGCTACCTAAGTGTAAACAAATATTACACATCAAGCCCAGTGGCCCAAAGTAAACATTTTTATTCTCAGTTCTGCCTTAGGGGTGTCTAGTTTTGCAAGCATGAGTAAATGGAATCAACAATAATCCCCTCCTTAAATGTCTGGCATTAAAATTTGTCACTTAAAAAGTTTCTGGTTTTGCCTAAAGAGAGTGTGATTTGAGGGTGACCTGAAACAGCTTGAGGCTTGTGGACACATAGGGTTAATCGCCTTATTTCCTGCCAATTCACAGAGCAGTGAAAGGCCACAGGCAGCTATAAATAGCGGTCAGGCAGATCTGTCCTTCCAAGAGGGAAAGAACTTAGCAACAAAGAGAGACGCAAGGGGTGAGGCGGGCAAAGAATCATTAGCCCAGTTTCTGCCCGTGCCAGGGCATGTGACCCTTGGGAATGCCGCGAGGCCCAGCAGGGGAAGGAGAGGATCAACGCTTTCATAACCTCCAACGCGGTGCATCCCAAACCCAGATGGGCCTGGACCGACCTGTGCATTTACTCCTGAATGTCCTCCGTCAGCAGACACGGGAGCCAACAGGTGGGAAAACGTGTCCTCCAGAGTGCTCCTTTTTTTGAGGGGGACCCAGCTCCCAGGCAGGAAATGGCAGAGAGGAGGTGGATCCTTTCCCTTGGAGTGGCCTTCTGTCTTCCAGGGTTCACAGGACAGTCTCTCGGATGACCCCAATGAGGCTGTGTGGCCGCTCAGCCTCCACTCGCCGGGACCTCCTCTCGGCTCGGGGCCTCCCCACCGGTGCAAAGGTGCTCAGGTCGCCGCAGCTCTGGAGGTGCAGCAGGCCAGGCTGTCTCCGCGAGGGCAGCGTGCGGGCCCTGGATGTGCTGGGTTGCAATGGGGCCATTATCTTTGGGAAAAGAGAGGGTGGGGAGAAGTTAAGTAAGCTTTACCAGATGTGGCCCTTTGACCTACCTCCTAGGTCCATCCACCTATCTTAATGTGTAATTGCTTTGAAAAAGAAAGAAAAAACGCATTTTCCCAATGTGGAACTCACCTGGAATTCCAGGGGTTCTTTGTAAATCCTCCAAATGTTCTACCACTTCCACTGTAGACCCATAAACCACACTTAACTGATTTGTCCACTGCAATTTCTTGCTTTAACATTCTTCTCAGAGCTTTTCTCTAATTTCTCTGAAGCCTAAGTCAGTGATCCTCACTGGCATCTGAACATTATTACTGGGTCAGGGAGGGACGGGTATTGTCAGAAACATGAATTTCCTGCTGAATTGCCAAAGAATTCCCACAGCAATGGGAACAGTTAGCCTGGACTCAAGAACCTGCATTTTTAACAAGAATCCAAGTAAAAACCACTGGTATGGGATTGGGACCAGGTGATGGGTTTATAAAATGTCAACCAAGTCAACCAAGTATAGGCACAGTGGCTCACACTTGTAATCCCAGCACTTTGGGAGGCTGAAGCAGGTGGGTTACTTCAACCCAGCACTTTGAGACCACCCTGAGTAACATAGTGTGACTCCATCTCTACAGGGAAAAAAAAAAAATTTTTTTTTAATTAGCTGGGCATGGTGGTTCATGCCTGTAGTCCCAGCTACTGGGAGGTTGAGGCAGGAGGATCACTTGAGCCCAGGAGTTCTAGACCAGCCTAGACAACATCGCAAGACCTCGTCTCTACTAAAAATAAGAAAACTTAGCTGGGCGTGGTGGTGTGTGCCTGTAGTCCCAGCTACCTGAGAGGGTGAGGCAGGAAGATCACCTGAGCCCAGGATTTCAAGGTTGCAGTGAGCTATGACTACACCACTGCACTTTAGCCTGGGTGACAGATGGAGACCCTGTTTCAAAAGAGAAAAAGTCAACCCAAACCATCCAATGATGCTTCAAATGGATCTGATAATCCTTTAATAAACAATATAAAAACTAGGCCAATTTATTTGTAAAAAGTCTTTAAGAATGATTCTTTTCGCTAAATCTATTTTGCAATGTGTCACAAACATAATTTTGAATATATAATAATATCACTTACTCTGTAAAAATGGCAAAAATATGAAAAATTCCTCATCCAACTGGGATTGAAGAGGAGAAAACTGTCCCGTCAATTTTTTGTACATTGCACAGCCATGTCTGTTTGACCTGTAATAGTGTCAGCAGCTCGGGGAAAACTCGGGGCTTTACTGTTACCTAACATCACAGCACAATCATTTGGATGACTTTTTGTTTCATTTGTACCATTCTGAGCTTTTAAGGTCATTAAAAGATTATTCCCCCAAAGATGGGAAATTAAATTTTATTAACAATCTACTTAATGACATCTGTCTTTGAGATCTGTCCTTGTCCCCCGATTAAGAAAAGTTCAACATTCATAGAAGTTGACTGTGCTACACAGTAAGTTAGGACAAGTGGTTTTGATATCAGTGAAAATTAAAATGGATCTAAAACCTCCAATATGCGAAGCCAGCTAGAGTCAGAAATAACCGGTCTCCTTCTGCTGTCCTTACCTCCTTCTGCCTGGGAAAAGGTATGGAATTGTGAAACCTCACCTCTAGGGTCCAGTCCTGGAAGGCCCTGCAGATGACCCAAAATCCGTGGCAACAATCTCAGCACCTGAACTTTTAAACTGCCTGAGGCACAAAGATCTAGCAACCATCTGTGATGATAGCATCTAGTGAACTGTATAAGTGCTTGTTCTTTTTCCCCAGAGTTATTTCCCAGGGGGCAAGACTTTGCAGAAGGTCCAGGCCCGCTGCCTGGTGAATGCTCCAGCTCTTAGCTCAACAGAGCTTGGCAGCCTTCCAGAAGCAGCTCCTGTTTATTGGGCTCTTGGGGCCAGAGAGAGGGAAGGTGACAGAGAATGACATCTGGAGTAGCTAAGGGACACGAGGATGTAAAATGTTTCCCCCACACAGGTTAGTAACTAGAGCCTGACCCGGAATGGTAACTGATCACTCTTTTAGAGTGCAAACGCAAGACGGTCTGTGGTTCATGTATCTCTTCATGCAAGGAATCAGATCATTCCTCTCCCTGAATCCCCTGAGGGACTGGGAGAGAGTTTGGCTTCTGGCTTCTGTAAGAAGAGGCCAGCAGGTAGAAAGGGGGAACAGAAGGGAAAGTGAGAAGGGTATTTACTCAATCTGAATTAAAAATTTACCTACATCCTGAAGTTGGTAATTACCCTGAGAAATTAGCCCACTTCAATTGAAGAAGTATTTGTTGGACATTTAATGCACAAAGACACAGAGTCACATAACATCCATACGCCATTGTGGGGTGCTGTCTACGACATCTACCCCACTACCTACAGCAATGAAGCCAACACCTAAAAGGGAATGGCTTTTTAAAAAGGTGGAGAGAAGGCTCCTTCCAGAAGGAAACACCATTCATTCAGAAATAGAGATATAGAGACTACCTAGTCCAACCCTTTACTTTAAAGAGGAGAAACCTGAGACCTAACTGGATTATGTTCGTGCCCAATTCTATCTTTTCTCCAAGTGGCTTCAGTTTCAGGGATTGCCTTGTATTTTTTAATCTATAAGAAGAAAGGTGTTTATTCCCTTAGGACCTGTTGGCTTATCTTGCCAAACATTTCATGGGAATGTGAACAGCCTCTTAGAATCTTGTCAATATTAAAATTCACCTATGTCATCATTTTCAAAGGGCTGAGAAAACATGCCTTATCAAAGGAAACCTTCAATTCAGGAAATCAGATGTTGAATGCACTCCCCATTGTCCATATCCTCCGCTTTTATTCCTGGCATGCACTCTTTTCTTTTTGCAGACGTGCTTCCACATCCCAGGAAAACTGGGTTCTCTTCCCTTGAGCCAAGAATGACGTGGGAAAGTTACCACACTTGAAAGCTCCATGGCTTCCTCTCTCTCTCTCCCTCCCCTGACCTCCCAACCCCATTTCCCTGAAGACTGTGACCATGAATTTACTCTGCCTTGGGCAGGAAAGCAGAGAAGCCACTTTAGCTGCTATAAAAGAGTTATCTGATTCACATCTGAGATTAATAATAGAACTACCTGTTCTAGGAAACTGGCACTTGTGATGGCTTCCTCCATGTGCTCCTCATCAGACTTCAAAACAGATTTAATGTTTTCTACAAGTTCATGGATGTCTGGGGTCATGGTACAGGAGGACTGCTCCAGGAACCTTGCCACCAGCAGCTTGGTGTCCAGGTAGGATTTGTAATCTATCAAAGACCGCGGTCTGCATCGCGAAGCTCTCGATCTCAAGCCTCTCCTCAGAGTCACCGCAGCCAGATCCAGTCTCCTTTCAGTCTGTGTCGCAGCTTCACAGCTGAGCACTGGGGCAGCTGTGGGCAGAAACAAACAACGCGAACCCATTGGCCAACCCCTTTTGAACACATGCCCATACCTGAAAGCACAGACCACAAAACTCAACATGGAAAGCATCTGACAAATGCTGATAGCCATGCACATCCTGCTTTTCATCTTGCAGAAGGGGGGAAAACAATTATGACACACGGTTATTCCCTGAAGTCCAGTTCCAATACGATATGGCCCAAAACATATCATCGTGCCATGTGACATCACCCGCAAGGTAAAGCCAGATGGTGGAGAGGAGAATCCAGAATGCAAACCATAATGAAGTTAAGTTTCATGGGGTATGACAAACAGATGGGCATGGATGGGCCAAGCAGGAAAAATGTGGTTGACCCATGAAAGGATGTTCCAAGGAGCAAGGATGAAGTAGTCAATTAAGAGAGGAAAGGGCTGAAGAGAGACAAGACTTGTCAGATGAATGTAATGCTCTGATCACTTTGACTATACCTTTGTCCCAAACGTCCTCAAGGACATTGTACTGACTTGTGCTATCGATGCTCACACCATGGATATGAGGTAGATCTATAGCTATTACAGAAAGAGAAATTCAGATGCAGAAAAAGTACACATCATGCTGGAAGTCAACAGAGGGCCTGGGAAATCCATCGCAGGCTCTAATTTCCATGGCTACCTACATCAGCAAGGGTGTAAAAACCAGCAGAATGCTTCTGCACTTTGAAGTGGGTGAAGCAAAACTCAGATCTGGTCATTATGTGTCCAGAAGCCAGCCAGCAGCCTTCAGCATACACAACACTGGCATCAGTCAATGAAGGCCTGATAAGCAGAAATTTAGAAATTCAAAGAAGACAAGAAGCAGGGGATGAGAGAGCAGGTGGAATAAGGGGAGCACTCCTTTTCCTCTGGAGAAAGGCAGGCGTGGGGAGCTCTAAACCAGGATTCAAGACTGTCCTCTCAGGCAGCCATATGCGTGTCACAGAGAGCAAGAGTCTTCCAGAAGCACTCGCCAAAGACACTCATGTGTGAGGACAGAGTCAGGGTCTCCACTCTTCCACTTGAAGGCAACCTGATGCCTTCCACAATGGAGGGCTCCAGCAGCTGCTGTCTTCACCCCTGCAGGTCTGCAGAATGAGAAGGGGTTCCAGAAAGATTTCCCTAAGCTGTGCAAACAGCTAAGTTCCTGTTGAGGCTGGAGTCCTCAACTTGCCAGGTAGGGTGTAGGAGACCCACAGTGAAGGCAGGTCTTGGGAATCAGAAGCCAGGCTGCCCGGCCACTGTGCTTCAGAGACATGCTCAGTACCAGGCGGCAGGATTTCCCCTCCACTCAGAAGCTGCTGTAGAGACAAGAGGAATGTTCTCTCTGGCTCGAACATGGTCAGTCCAGAGCTGTGGCAAATAACACACACTGTCAGACAGGCAGAACCAAGACTGCAAGGGCTCAAGACAGGACCCTGGGGAGAGCAGGGTGGAAGATTATCAAAGTTTTATTTGCATAGGTGTTTTAGAGGAGCAGAGGTCGACTCTGCTAGACTACTTCACAGGAAGAAGCTGGTGCTGGTGGAGTTATAGGAGGTTTTAATTTTCTTCCTTTAGTTTCTTTATTTTTTATAATTTTCTACAATGAAGAGATATTTGGAGATGTTCAGGTATTCATATATTCAGGAAAAACTCAGTGTTATTTTAATTTTTAATTATTCAGGTAACAGCTGTACACAAACAAACTTAACACAGAGAGAGAGGTGAAGTGTGTGGGTGTGTGTATTTCATTCTATCCAAATAAAAACAAGGTCAGATTTCAATAATTTAATCATCTACTCATACATAGTAAATATATAACAATCTATAAAAGAGGGAGTATACAAAAATCTTTTTGACTTTAAGACAGTGCATATTCCCATAGGATTGCAGCATCTAGAAATCAGAACTAGGTGTGCATAACTGTCTTCATGTAGTACCTAGCATAGTATCATGTACCACCAAATTCTTTTGATGACGACTTAAAAAAAAAAAAAAACCCTACCCCCTTTTTTTTTTTTTTTTTTTTTTTTTTTTTGATACAGGAGTCTCACTCTGTTGCCCAGGCCAGAGTGCACTGGCGCAATCTCAGCTCACTGCAAGCTCCACCTCCTGGGTTCACGCCATTCTCCTGCCTCAGCCTCCCGAGTAGCTGGGACTACAGGCACCCACCACCACGCCGGGCTAATTTTTGGTATTTTTAGTAGAGATGGGGTTTCACCGTGTTAGCCAGGATGGTCTCGATCTCCTGACCTCGTGATCTGCCTGCCTCAGCCTCCCAAAGTGCTGGGATTACAGTTGTGAGCCACTGCGCCCAGCCCCCACCATCCTTAAAAGACATGGTAGATGTATAATCCTAACATGGACGTAGAATATTTTACTTTCCCAAGACCTCATAAACTCCTTCAAATGACCACTTAAACTGCAGGGTCTTGAGCTGGCCGGAGCCACCCACCTTCACCTGGCTCCTTTAAGCAAATAAGCACAGAGCCCCGCGCAGAGCTTGGGGAATGACGTCACCTCTGTCCTCGGCATGATGGAGCACAGGGTCGCTCTTTGACCTCGTCCTCAGGGGTGGGAGGGCTCTCCGGCTTCTCACAGGACGCACCAGGGTTGAGCTGGGAGTTGGCATGGATGCGTTTTCTTCTGCAGGTATGTTAGGAATGGCCCCACCTGATTTAAAAAAAAAAAAAAAAAAAGGCGAAACATAAATTATTTCACCAGCTGCAGTACTCAAAATGCTCAGGAAACACCTGTGAGCCTAAACCTGCCGGGGCAAGGGTAACGCAGTTAATAACATTTACTCCAGCTGCTGGCCCAGTAGGTTTTTATATCTCTGCGCTACGGGAAAACTTGCCTTTCCAAACCACCCCTCCACACCTAAAACAAACAAACAGAAAAATTTACATCCAACAGCAAAATAAAGGAGCCATGCCAAACTGTCAGGCTGTTTTTCCCAAAGGTGCTTAGACTCGTCTCCAGGGAAGCATCCTGGGGCAGTACTGAGAAGCACCCTGACCTATCGGGATGAGCCTGGTTCTGGGAAGGTAATACCTGCACAGGTGAGGTGGCTGCTCTGTGGGCTGCAGAACTCCCGGAAGGCTGAATTAGAGAGTCAAGTGTCCACTAAACAAATCTGTAAAACCCCGCGGGAATTGGATAATTTATGCTCATAAAAATAAAATTGCATCATTCGTGAGCCTGAGTTGCAATTCGGGAAACTTTTCAAAATGGAAAAATTCGCTGGGCACAGTGTCTCATGCCTGGAATCCCAGCACTTTGGGAGGCCGAGGCGGGCAGATCACCTGAGGCAGGAGTTCGAGACTTGCCTGGCCAACATGGCAAAATCCCGTCTCTACTAAAAATACAAAAAGTAGCTGGGCATGGTGGCGGGCGCTTGTAGTTCCAGCTACTCAGGAGGCTGAGGCAGGACAATCACTTGAACCCAGGAGGCGGAGGTTGCAGTGAGCTGAGATTGTGCCATTTCACTCCACCCTGGGCAAAAGGAGCGAAACTCTGTCTCAGAAAAAATAAATAAATTGAAAATAAAGTTAAAAAATGGAAAAATTATGAACATACTTAGGAGACAGAACACTGCTTCATAATTCTACTTAGGATAGAAGGTGAACAGAACACAAAGTATTACATTACACATAGTACTGCTGAAAAATTACCTTCATCTAAAATTGCTAAGTTGATCCATTATTTATTGCCATTTGCGATTTTGTCCTGCTGGACAATTTTCTGGGCCAGTTAAAACCTCCCCAAAGAGAGAAGGCCATAACAATGTTCCCTTAAATTACAAGGATAAATGTAAACTGACTCTAGTACTTACTATAGTACTGAAAACCAGAATTCACTCACTGCTCAGGCAGCATGACCTGGGCCCTAGGTTATAAATGACACAGCAAAATCTCACTGCAAATTCCCCCTGCAATAGAGGAAACTTTTTTCCCCCTGCCAAAAGTCTAGCTGATTTTAATAGGAGGAAGAAAATTATAGATCAGAAAACACAGGAATACCAAATCAAACTCTGTAACCTATTTCACGGTGCCTGAGAATAGTCTGGTTCATAAAAATGTCTAAGGATATCTTTTTTCAGCTCATGTATTTTCTCCCATTTATAAGCCCTAATAGTTGATGGCATTTTTGCACCTGGAGAAAAAGGTAGAGCTTGAACTATTTGCTCCGAGAATATCTGCCCTCCAGCACAATACCAGACAAGATCATTATTATTATTATTATTATTCGTTTGTAGAAACAGGGTCTCTCCATGTTGTCCAGGCTAGCCTCAAACTCCTGGCCTCATGTGATCCTCCCACCTCGGCCTCCCAAAGTGCTGGGATTACAGAGATTAGCCACCTTGCACAGCCTATTTCATCATGTTTTAATCTACTGAATCATGTCACAATGTATCTATTACCTTGAGTCACTTGTGTGCAGCCCGGATCCAGTGGGATCATAGCAGCTTCTGATCCTTCTGCCATTTGGAATGAAGATCCCTGCATCACAGGAAAAAAGAGGATTATTTTGTTGATGTTTAACTCACGGCTCATTAGACCCAGTTAACTCCTTAAAAAGATGTGTGGGGCCTGGTCTCCCTGCTGTTCTCTGGGGGCAGGGGTTGGGGAGATGCTGTGTTTCCCACTTGCAGTCAATGTACTTAGAGAGATGTGGGACAGACAGTACCTGCTCCTGGTCCATCTGGCTCACCACAGCTTCATACGGCGGCGGGGGATCCAGAGGACAGAACACTTCCACACCTTTGATTCGAGCTCCGTAGATGTGTGGCAGGGGAATAACATCAGGACCAACCATCCTAGGAAAAGGAACTCGGCGTCAGAAAGCACATTCTACAGACTGGCCACGTGACTGCAGTGATGCCTGGATACTGGCTTCGCTCTAAACGGTGGGCAAAACCACTCACCTCTCCATACCATGGTCTGCTTGGCCAGGAGAGGGAGAATAACAGAAGCTGCTCTCTGACGAAGTGGCCAGAGTTCCTTAAGCAAACGACAGTGTATAAAATGCAACCCCATCATTCCTTTTAAACCCATCAGTCAAAAAGCAAATAATCCACAGAGACACAGAGCAGATGAGTGGTTGCCAGGGGATGGGGGAGAAGGGAATGGGGAGTGACTGTTTGAGGGGTATGGGGCCTCCTTGAAGTATTGAAAATGCTTTGGAACTAGATAAAGGTGATGGTTACAAAATAATGTGAATGTACTAAATGCTACTGAATCATACACTTTGGTTAATTTCATTTTATATGAGTTTCACCTCAATTTAAAAAACAACTAAGGATTCAGGAAAATTCAATTATTTCTTACATTCTACATGGCTCTTGTTTTTGTCCTGTGGGTAAAGAACCGTCAACAGCAAAATTCAAAATAATAGCAAAATCCTCCACAAGATTTCTCACTAGTGTTGATAGAAAATTCCACAAATCTTTGCCCAAGGTGCTAGATGATCTAGATAATGATGAACCTAAGTTTTAAAATAATTTATAAAATACATATAAAAGCCAGAAAACCTGTATTCCGCTATGGAGTATCAAAGAATGAAAAGAAAAGGAAAAAAAAAAAAAAAAAAAAAAAAACAGCAAAAGTTTGTTCTTGAAATACAAAAAAAGGATTTTAAAAAGCTAAAAGAAATGGATGAGAAAACAGATTCTGGGACTAGTTGCTTGCAGGCACTGCCTTTTGGGAAGCAGTGTTCTCTGAATTTATAGTTGTTTCATTTTATTCTTTGTGGGCATGTACAAAATGTGATGGGTGGAAGAAAAAGTTTGAAAAGGATGTCATCTTCTTTCTTCCTAACAATGAAACTTCTGGAATTCTGGGACTGAGAAGAACGAGACTCTGCAACCTGAATGAAAAGACGAGAATGCACTCCCTCATTTTCCTCTATATTTGTCTGTTCATAAGCGAGGCTCTCATCCCTTGCTTGACCTGAAAGGGAAGGCAGAAAGTGATGTGCTAACGCCTGACGTGGAGATGTTTGCAGGTTCAGCACGCAACACGTCAAGCCTCCAGTTGAATGCGAGGCACTAGCACAAAGGGTCCCTTCGTGGGGGAGGGGTCCTGGCAAAGTTATCAAGAAAGAGAGATTCTCCCCTTAGAGCAGGACTTGCCAACAGGCTTCATTCCAACTCCCATACTCCACTGAAACTGTTTAAGAACTGTAAGTGCTGAGTGACTCTGAGAAGCCAGACCCTTCTTGGATCTAAGAGTGAAGATTCTTTCCTGGCAAATGAACAGTGCAATTTGTTTTCATCGATGAGACCTATGGACTTCTATCCTCTCTAGAGGGCCAGCCTTCCATCTTTAATGAGCATAGCCCACATAAGCCATCTTCCTAGCACTTACAAACACTTGACTTTTTCTCTCTAACAAATGACACCTGTATTTCTTTGCTGCTGTGTCCCCTGCCTGGAAAGTTTCTATCCCCAGCTTTGTTACCTGTTTCTTAGCTCTGATGGTCCCTGTTTGGCAGTCCCAACGCAATGGGTACCTATGTGTCCAGAGAGAGAAGAGGGCTTGCTGAGGGCCAAGAGGTCAGAGGAACAGGCCCTGTTTTAGATCCTAAACTATTGTAGAATTTCTTCCAGAAGAATAGCTTGGGAAAGAGGAGGCATACTTTATCCAAGTTGACCACAAAATAAACAGCTTCTATGGTAGTTTTGATAATGCCCATAAAAGCCTCACTTTGAAGGAAGATGCTGCTAGAGTTGACACAGAAGAAAAGTTCCTTTCCAATTAAGCAATTTCTTGTTTTACTTCATTTGTGTTAACAAGGGTCTGTGGAGGGAAATAGGTCTGCTCCATACTGGCAGGTTGGTTTTTGTGTGTTTTTTGACTACTGTTTCTTTCCCCGGATCCCCATGGCTCTCAGTCCTGGCAAGGTGGGTAGAATCACCTTGGGAGGTTCTAAAACTCTGGATGGCCCAGGCCTCACTTCTAGAAATTCTGCTCTCATCGCCTATGGTGGGGCCCAGGAATCTGCCCGTTGTTAGCGCTCCTACGGGATTCCAATGCACCACCAAGATGGAGCACCACTGCAAAAGCAAATGGATAATGGTGATTGAAATTAAAGCCCTGTTCTACTGGGAAAGTTGATCAAATTTTTATTAAGAATGAGGGTCTTCAGAAGACAGTTGCCTAATAAGGTCAGGCTAAGGTTAAGAGCTAAGTGTTTCTTAAGAGCAGGACACATACTGAGAGCATTTTAAAACCCCGAACCAACACTGGGAAAGCCCAGTCTAAGATGCTCTTTTCAGAAAGCTTCTTAAGTCCATTCTCTCATAACGATACTCCCCGCAGCCACATGAAAACAAAGGTGAATGAGGAAACTGAGGCTCAGAAATGGTGACAGACTCATCCTGGGTCACCCTCTGCAGTGACTCTAGAGCTTGAGCTCTTTCGAATTCATCACCAAGTCCCCAGGAAGCCTTCACTGGTGCAGGCTCAGGAGCACTGAAGATGGAAATGCAACGCATGTTCTGCTTTCAGGCTACAAATAGGCCCTGAAGACTTACTCAGGGGGAATGCAGCAGCGAATACACCGTTGACCAGAGAATCCTCCTCCTCCTGTACTGGAAAACTGTGCCCTGTGACTGAGTACAGGGTTGCTGCTCGCGGAGTGGGGCCCTCTCGCCCACTCCCTAGAGCTGAGCACAGACTCAACCCCAGCACTACCGGACTCCACTTGAGTTTGGGTTTGGAAATTCTTAGGAAAGGAAATGAGTGGGGTTTGAGGGGGACTCTGCTTTAAGAAATGCCCATGTCCACCATGTCAATGCCCAAGACCCCCTCAGTCCTCAGTTTTCTTTAATAGGGTACATCGCCAGAGTAAAAACCAGGTCCATGTTCAAGAAATAGCTTGGAGACTCCTTGATTCCTGGTTCAAGCCAACTTCTGAGAACAGAGACACCCCGGAGTAGTGGAGGTGGGGTGCACAGCCCCTCCTGTATCACAAATCAATTCACAAAGTGGCGAATTCATCTTTGGACAGAAACCTCAACTGCAATCAGGCTTCCGTTTATGATAGTAACTCGAGAAGCCTTTTCTCAAGGAGATGCCAATGCATGAAGTGGTTGTATTTATAGAAGTTAAATCAACCTCTTCTGAGAGGTCATAATACCTTACAGGAAATGGGGAGCCTCTGTTGTGTGAAAACTCTGGATAAAACTGATCGCAGAAATAGTAACAAAAACATTCGTGAATATTCTTGCCTGCCTGCTTATGAGAAAGAAAATTACCAGCTGAGGTTAAACCATTAGTGTCTATAAAGTTTATTTATACTGTGAATCTAGCAAAGTTGGTCACATTTTAAAATATTTTTGATAGGACATGTATTTAAATGTGAATAAATTCAGCCCTTTTGAAAAGGAACGTGGACTACACTCTGATATTGGTAAAATTTCCAAAAATTAAGGTGTTTGCCCACTGGCAATATGATTATAGGGCTCTGGGCACGTTTTAGACTGGGCAATGTCTTCTTTCTCACAAGACTGTTTAGATTTAACTCCCTCCTTCTGCCTTCTTTCTAGAAAGTTCTGAATGATAAAGCCCTTGATGAGGAGCTTGTCTGTTTTCTTCCAACCTAGATTTGGCCAGAGGTTGTCTCAAGACTCAGAGACAAATCCGAGGATGTACCTAGATCTTAAAGAATGGAAATATCTGCAGTGATGAGCACTATTACAGTGAAGCAGAGAAGAGAAAGGAAAGCGAGGAGACAGGAAGGTCGGGAGTGCTCAGAGCACACTGCTGGATGGCTCAGCTCCTAAACCCACATGAGTCACTTTCCCCTTCTGCCACTGCAGAAACTAAATCTGTCTGTTGCCTCCTCCTAGGTCAACAGAGTGCTCATCTGCAACCTCAGCGTCAAAGAATTCCTCTTATTGGAGAGGGTATTTCTCATCCCCACCAAGAAATATCAGTCATTTTTACTGTCCTCCAATGTACCCTCTACAGACAGCCTGAGACAGTGCTAAGATTTTCGCAAATGTGTCCTCAGGTACAGAAAGAACATGTGTTTTGCTGCTGTATCTCTTCGTCCTCTGTCATTCTTGGCTCATTTCCTGAAAGATTAGGGAAGTCATCCCAGCCCCTGAGGCTTTGAAATTCCAGTAGAGGCCACTCCCTGAACACCAGAGAGGCCAAGCTGTCCCACAGGCCTAGCCAAGCCACCTGTCACCCAGCTGATACCCCCTCCAGCTTTGCGGTCATCTCTGCCACTGCCTGGGCAAGTGAGCTGGGGAGAGTATAGAGGTAGGGTTCAGGTATAACTCTAAGGGACAAGTCAGCAGCTAAGTCACTGAAAAGAATACTAACAGTGTCTGGGTGGCAGCCCCACTGGTGACCCATCTCAAAGTCACATACAGTCACCCTGGACATTAGAAAATACTTCTCTAAAAACCTCAAGCTCAGCACCAACTTGGTTTGATAAGTCTCTACATGTACTACAGGGATTAAAAAAATAGAAATTTCTGGCCCTCTGAATATGAAGCCAAAGACACTAGTATTTCTGTGGAATTGAGAGATTCTCTTTCAGAAAGTTCAACAGAGGTTTGCTTATCCTTTAAACTCAGCTTAACGTTACTTCTTCCAGGAAGCCATCTTTGACTGCCTCGCCACTCTGGGTGAGGTGGACCTTCTCTGTGCACCCAAAGTCCCTCTTTTGAATACTACTGTGATCCTTCCAACACATTTTAATGACCTAGACTGTGAGCTCCTTAATGGTAGGGGAGGAAGCAGGTCTAGCTCATTTTGAATTCCAGTAACCTAGCACAGAGGATTCTATGTTTGTTGAATGAATAAATGAAGTCATTCTTTAAAAAAAGATTTGTTTCTAGAAGTTGCTAACAATCAGACAAATGTATATGGCACTTCAATGTACCAATAAAAATCCTTGATATTTAAGAAGGTCAAAATTTTGAGTTTGAAATTTGAAAAGGAAAGTAAGTACAGTATCTATTTTTTCTAGACCAGGGAAAGACAATTAATAATTAATCTCTTTTTAATGGCTAGGAAGAATTTCATGATTGTTGAGACCTGCTGATGGTATTACAATGAAACATCGATTTGGCCTAACTGGGAGTGTTTCCAAGGCAACAGCGACTCTAAATCATGTCAAATTACAGCTGTTATCTCCCTGGGTGTCATTTTCCCTTAGAAAGCTAATTGAAATTGAAAATGTCTACCTTTAGGTCAAAGTTTAACTTTTCTTTGGATCCATCTGTTTTATCAGACAAAAAGAGACAGACAAAGTAAGACAGAAAACAGAGAGAGTGACAGAGAGAATAGAAACCCCTGAAAAACAGCACAATTGTTTTTCAGTTTTCTAAAGAAGGCTGGCAGAAGTGGACTCTCTAAAAGCCATACCTCAGGGTTCACTAGCTGATTTTGTCACTCAATGGGCTAATAATGTTCCTTAAGTCGGGAACAATTTTTCTTTTTCTTTTTCAAAGCAAAGTGAGATCTCATGCTGTGAGTTCTGGAGATACTTCAGTCTTCAGAACCTACAGCACCCCACTCAGACTGCAGGGGAACTCAGGAACGATACCTGCGGTTCATCCGGGGTGTGCACGAGTAAAATGTGGCAAAATAGGAAGGGGGAGGCACAGGCGGCACAAAATCATCAGGGTCCGGGATGTGTCCATGATCCTCCACTTCTTCAGCAGAAATCTGGGATTCATCCTAATTAAACAGCAGCTCGGTTAGTGAAGAGTCTTCATTACAAAGGCACGGGGAGAGAGGCAGTGGAGGACACGAAGGGGTCCATGGGCTGGCTCAGCGAAAACATGGCCATGACTTACGATGCAGGATCTCCTGGTTGCGAATATCTGGAGGTAGCGGAGGGCGGCGGCCACCAAGCAGACGGTGGTGGTCAGGGCATTCAAGGCACACAGGGCAAAGAGGACTTTCTGGGGCAAGGAAACAAGGGCACCACTAAGTCCTTCAACACACATCACCAGAATATCATGTAGAAAATCTTAAAAATAATAATAATGCTGCCTCCATAAGACAATTCTCAGGAGAGGCTGCATGTAAAGGATTTAGGTGGTGTCTGGCTCGTGGAAAGCACCCACATAAATGCTGGCTATTATTATGACCCTCATGCAATAATGCTCACTTCTTAATTCCAAAAACTTTTCTTAGAAGCTCCCTGTCACAGAACGCCCTGGTATGACAGTATTTCTTTTTGCAAGCATCAGAATACTGTCGGGAAACATTCCTTCCAGGAGAGCAGTGAGTTTCTCTTCTGAGGCTGATTTCCCCAGGGATAGCAATTCCCAGCCTCCTCCCTCCCACAGCCTCCCACCAGCACAGCGCACTGCTTAAATTGTGGCCACTGATTCTATTTCAAGAGCAATTGGCTGTGCGGCCCCATGCACACAAAGAGGACGCTGCAGGGGCTGGCCCAGCCAGAGTGGAAATAGGACTTCTCTCCACTAAACACACATCTCAAAATAGCAAAAGCCATTCCAAACACTTCTGATAGTACAGTCCTGGCTCCTTTAGTGGGGCTTTCCCCAAGCTAAGTCCTGGCTCAGAAAGTTTGGGAGTGACTCAGCTACCAAAAATGCAGAAGCCACGGAAAGCAGGCCATTTCTACATCCCACACAACCCAGAGCTGGTAGCTTGGAACAGTTCTCTCTTTGCTTGGAGACTCTTCCTCCCCACCAAAATGAAACCCAAAACAAATATCTAAAGAAAACCGGTGGAAGTGGACTCTCTAAAAGCCATGCCTCAGGGTTCACCAGCCGATGTTGTCACTCACTGAGCTAATGTTCCTTAAGTCAGGGCACAAATTTTATGCAACTCCCTGATGAAGGCTAATTTTGTACTTCTCTTCAACTGGGATCATCCATTTGTTTAATCTCTTTTGCTTATTATAGTTGTTGCTTATTAAACAAGAGCTAAGGTGCTTCAATTCCCCCATACTTTCTGGCCAATCTCTCTCCTTAGTCTATGTGTTGCAGACTGGTAGTACTCAGTGGTGCATATGACCCATGTAAGCAAACAAATGAGCATCAGAACAATGACACATGAGTGTGCAACTTAAAGGTTTTGCTAACAGCTACACCGTATATATGTGTGTATGTATACATATGTACGTATGCATATGTGTGTGTGTATACATATACATATATATAGTCAGGCTCCTTTCCATTTTTTACTATCTTATAGTTCTTCAGCACAAAGAAGGCTGTCCATACATAATTTAACACACACAATGATCTGTGGTTCTTTCTGCATTCAATTCTGTCTCTGGGGTCACTCACATGTGCTTTCAGCAGCTTAACTGTTTGAAGCAGGTAACAGAACAGGAATAGTTCAAGTAATTTTGCCTTCTTTGGGGGCTCCATGGTGTATTGACCGTGGGGGTGGGAATCTGTTCAAGGTACCTTAAGTAGAAGGTGAACAGCACTACAGGGCTGAACTGGAAAGAGTTTCAAGGCATTTTCTTTGTCTGTGCACTTGGCTGGTTGAAATTCTTCACAACAGAAGCAAATCTTGCCTTCACCTAAGTCCACCTTAATGGAGGAAAGGTAGAAAAATACTTTAATTATTAAGAAAACCACGCCGGCTCCACCATGGAGCACCGATCCTGTAGAATGAGGTTATGGCAGGGTTCTGTGTCAGGCAATGCCTCTCTCGGTCAGGATGGGCTAGGGTATGGCATGGTAACAACCAAAACCTACATTTCAGTGGCTTTCCCAAAACAAAGGGAATTTTAATATTCCTCCTTTCTCCTTTAAAGTCTCCAGCTGAGAACTTCCTGTTTTTACACTAATCCTGTTTAGTACTAACAAATAAGCAGCTAAATGAGACGAAGTATCAGCCTCCATTCTGCTCATGTACACGAGTCCCACTCTTCCCCAAAAGGAACCAAACTCACTTTCTTTTTCCAACACGATGCACTCTGATTTTCATTTTTTGCACTTGGTGCAAGCCTCAAGCTCTTAACCTGAAAGCTCTCTCTCTCTCTCTCAGACAATACTAGGTATCATCTTACAAAGTACTCCCTTCCCAAACAAGTCCATTCTTGATACAAAGCATTTAGTTAAGTGGGAAACCAGGCCTATGTGGGCTGCACCCATGTGAGTGCTTTATCCATATAACATAGATGTCCAGCTCTTCAGAAACTTCAGCTACCTAGAACCTCTGCAGTGAGCCAGTCTGGATGGCAAAATTTTCCAGATGGGTGAAATTTAATCCCTTTAAACAAACCTATTTGAAAGTTTACTCATTATACAAATGATCATGAATACCAACTAATTTTCCCACTAGATACAAAGAAGCCCTCAGACTCTGTACAAAACGATTCCAGGCAACTGTGCATTGTGTATTCCTGCTCCCCTATTCCTGATCCTTGCAGAATCTAATACCTTCACCTCCATTCTTAATCCCATCTCTGCCCAGTATTTCTAAAAACTTACTCTCGCTTCTCATCAGTCACTTTAGCCTATCCACAAACAAATCTGTAGAAGTCTCCCTGATCCTAAATAATGAACATCCACCCCGCATTCTTGATGCTATTGCCTGAAGAGGTCAGATCCTTGTCTTCCCCCCATCGCCTTTCAACAGTAGCATTCTTAACCCTACCAGCACATTCGAATTTTCTGGAGAGCTTTTTTAAAAACGATGATGCCATCTTTAGCACTCAGGGAACTACAAATTAAAGTGACAGCAAGCTCTCCCTTTGGCCTCATCAGACTGGCAAAACTTTAAAGAGAGAGAAACTCTCTTTGCTGGTGGAGATGTGGAGAGCCACTAGTAGAAACTCACCAGTCACTGGGGAGTTTAAGCCCTTTAATGAAGGAACTGACTATCCATTTTAAATTAAAAATACGTCCCCAACCACTTTGGAAAATTCTTTAGCACCACATGATCCAGCAACTCCATGCCTAGGTATTCACTCAAGAGAAATGAAAAGTGCCTCCCCAAAACAACAATGCTCACAGCAGCTTTGTTCATAATACCCCCAAACCGGGAACAGTCTAAATGTCCATCAACAGGAGAACAAAAAAAAAACAAAAAACAATTCTGGTATTTTTATAAAATGAAATAGTGTCCTGAAAAAAAGAAACAAACAGCAGATACAATATAAAAATATGGATGAAGTTCAAGCACATTACTGAGCAAAGTAAGTCAGATACAAAAATGTTCAAACCATGTGACTCCATCTATATGAAGTTCAAGGACAGGCAAAACTAACCTATGGTGAAAGAAATAGGAACAGTGGTTGCCTATGAGAGAGTAGAGACTGCCTGAAAAGAGAAACTAAAGAACTTTTTAAGGTGATAGAAATACTGTTTGGAGTATAACAAACAATATTTTGTTTGCAGTATAGAGATTGGCGTATAACATGATGTATACATTTGTCAAAATAAATGTATACATTGGTCAAAACTATAATGGACTGCACACTTAAGAGTTGTGTTTTTCACTATAACTTTTACCCCAATTTAAAAACAATGGATAGAACAATAAAATGGTTGAATTTGTAATAATAAATGAGACAGGCAGGAGACAAGATACTGCTGAGAACAATTCCTTGTCCTGGGAACCTACTCCGCTTAGAACTAAAATCTCCCTGAGAATATACAGAATGGTATTAATGGCAGCACTATGTCTATTGGTCAAAATCCAAGCCACAGCAGGCAATAACAAAATAAGGAACTAACTTGGTAGAAGAAATTAAGGGTGTTAGTCTGTATTTAATCTTCTCTAAGTGATACATCTTTAAGTGATAAAAACAGGATGCAGGGAAGTACATACAATATGCCCATTTTTAAAAACTCATGAACAACCCCACCCCATACATATTTATGTAATATTACATGACCATGAAAACATTAAGAAATATAATTCCCCAGCCTGTTACTAAGGATTTGGGGCGACAGATACGGGCAGAGCGGGAAAGAGGAAAGAACAACCCCTTGCCTGAAAAGGTTTCATTTGTCAATAATTTCCCCAAAGGAAAACAACACTTATAGCATGATCCTGTTGACTATGTGCATTTTTGTGCATAAAGAGATGCTTAACACATGGCCAAACTGTTATCCAGGGATAGTGGGAATTCAAATGATATTTAAGTTCTGCCTTATACTTTCATGGCTTGCCCAAACTTTTATAATTATATCATCAGAAATAATCACAGAGTTGGTTTTGTGGTAGAAAAAAAATTTATTAAAAATAGACTTAGTGCAAACCATATTCTGATATACAGAATATATAAAGAACTTCTACAACTCAATAACAAAAAAACAAATAACTCAATTTTAAAATGGGCAAAAGACTCGTATAGACGTTCTTCCTTTAATGAAAACATACAAATAGCCAGCAGGCATATGAAGAGACTATCAACATCACTAATAAGGAAAATGCAAATCGAAACCAAATGAGGTATCACCTTATACTCATTAGAATGGCCACTTTAAAAAACAAAAAAGCAGAAAATAACAACTGTCACTGAAGATGTGTGGAAATTGGAACCCGTGTGCACTGTGGGTGGAAATATTAAATGGTGCAGTTGCTATGAAAACCGATACAAAGCTTCCTCAAAAAATTTCAAATAGAATTACCAAATGATCACTTCTGGTTACATATCCCAAAGAATTAAAACCAGGATCTCAGAGACATATTTGCATGCCCATGTTTATTGCAATGTTATTCACAATAACCAAGAGTAGGGGCCAACCTAAATATCCATCACAGATTAATGGATAAACAAAAGGTATCATGTACATACAATGGAATATTACACAGTCTTAAAAAGGAAGGGAATTCTAACACATGCTGCAACATGATGAACCTTGAGGAGATGATGCTAAGTGAAATAATCCAGTCACAAAAAGACAAACAATGTATTATCCTACTTGTATGAGTAAATTCATAGAAAGGGAATGTGAAGTGGTGGTTACTAGGGGCTGGAGGATGGGGAGCTGTTGTTGTTTAATATGCATAGACTTTCAGTTTTGCAAAATGAAAAGAGTTCTAGAAATTGGTTGTATAACAATGTGAATATACTTACCTCTACTGAACTGTAGACTTAAAAATGGTTAAGATGGTAAATTTCATGCTATGTGTATTTTACAATAAAAATTTTTTCTTTTAAGTTCAGAGATGGTACAAGTCCACAACCTCTTACTCACAATGCTGAAATCCAAAAAGGTCTGAAAACCAGAAGTCATGATAACAGCCTGCTGTCCCAGACTCCACTGGCATGCTATATAATAAATAGTATATGCAAAATATTTAACCTTCTAAAATTGGAAAAACTCTAAATGCTGACACACACCTGGCCTCCAAAGGTTTCAGATAAAAGACTGTTGACCTATATTCTGGCAATATCCAAATATCCATTTTTTTTCTCTTTAGATGAGGACAGAGACTGATTGCTTGTGGACACCTGATCCATCTATTCACTAACTAATGATGCATTATATCACTATGGTTCCAGGGTTTTGCTGGCTGGTCCCTGCTTTGGAAAAAGTAATCGACAACCTGGGTGAAATAATCAGCAGGCAGCTCTTTGTTTTGTTTTCCCACTTCCTTTTACCCATTTCAGGTTTCACTTCAGGACAGTTGCCTGGTGCTGAATGTTGCAAGTCTCGCCAGGAACACCTGACAAGCCAGGGTCTGCCTAGATGCCAGGTGATGTTTTAAGACTGCTTACCAGATCACACCTGGGGACACTGGACACAAACTGGGCCCCTTGGCAGCCTAGGATAAATCCAGCTAGATTTAAGAGGACACAAACCACAGAGAGCAGCACAAAGAGGTTTACCTGAAATGGCAAGAGAATGGACAGTTAGTAAAAGATAACAGCTAAATTCAGACAAGTTTTATCTAATTTTAAAAACTCATATTCTCTTCCAAGACTAAATTTTTTTAAAAAAGATCAGAACCATGTTTTTAATGTGACAAACTTTTTTTTTCACATTTTAGAGTTGTTAAAATTGTGCTGAGGGATGCCATTGACTCTTAAGTCTTCTCAATAACCTCAAGTCCTTATTTTTTCCTCTTTGAAAATAATTCTTACTCCCTTATCTTTCATCCATCACATTACGCTAAGCCCTAGCTATTTCCTCCTTGAGCCACTCTTATTTTTTTTCTTTTAGTTTTGTGGGATCAGCAGCAAATAAACAAATGGAGAACTCTGGAATATAAGTGAAACCCAGGTACATCAAAGAGCTCAGAGCCTTTATTATCCAGAAATCACAGTATGCAAATGGACATAAAGATGGGTCCTTTTTTCAGTTCTGAACACTTTAGGTACTAAAGAATACGTACACAAAGATTTTCCATGTGCTTTTCTCTAAAGTTAATTATTACAACTATCACGCCAAATAATTAAAAAATTGATAGTAGTCAACTGAGAAGCCAGTATTTACTTAGTATAAGTTAGAGATTATGTAGGCTTTTCAACTTGAGAGCTATGATTATTAAGAAAATCAAATCTTATTGCAAATACAAAAGATTAGAGGAAATAATTATCAGTGTTAGAACCACACGTCAATTCAGGTAGCTGATATGTCAGAGTTGGCTGGTAAATGAGTTCACATATGAGCACTAAGGGAGAAACCTTGTTCTTTAACTATTGTTATTCCAAGTCAAGCTTGAAAGCATTTCCAAAGACCCGTTTTGAGTCCATGTTTAATATTACATGATGCCACTTTACCTAGGGGGAATTCCTTCTTCTCTCCAAGAGAAGTTTGGCTTCTTTCCTTTTATTGTTAATTTGGATACAGCCTGCCATCAGATTTTGGGGAAAATACTAATGGAAGCTGCTGTTGTTATTGTCTCCCAGGCTGGATTCCTCGGTGTCTATTGGACTTGACTTGAGCAGCATACAGAATATGTCCCCTCCTGCACTGTATCATTTATGATTATGCCACAGTTTCTTGGAAAAGGAGAATACATAATTGGCAAAGGACAGGGCTTGATCTTCCCACATGGGCTTCTATTACGCACTAGCAGTTGCTACTCAGAGAGATCTAATATATCTGGAATCTTTATACCCAATAACACAGTCACTGTTACTATGGAAAAGTCTTGAGTTTTCCTTTGGAAGTTTTCTTTTAAGACAATGTACAATGCCTTGAAAAGAAAGTGTGGTTATAATGCCCATCAGCACGCCAATAAAAATTAACATCATCTGCTATAAAATGGGTGAGGGCCCATTACTCCTAACACCAAACCCAAAATCTCTTCACTAAAATCTTAAAGCCAGCCCACTGAAGGACATAGTTAGGAAAATCCATAGTAGGCAAGCTACAGACCGGTAGAAAATATTTTCATGCATACATTCAACAAACAACTTGTGTCCAGAATATACAAGTAACTCCTCAAATCAATAATAAAGAGACAAGCAACCCAATTAAAAATTGGGGCAAAAGACTTAAATAGACATTTCATACAGACACACAAAAAATATAAGACTAGCCAAAAAGCACATGAAAAGGTGTTCAACATAATTAGTTGTCACAAGTGCAAAGTAAAAACCAAATGAGATACCATTTCACACCACCTAGAATGGTTAAAATGTAAAAGACTGACAAAACCAAGTGTTGGTGAGAATGAGGAACACTTGGACTCTCAGACACTGCTTGTGCAAGTATAAGATGGCACAACCACTTTAGAAAATTGTTTGTCATATTAAAAAAAAAAGCTCATCATCACTGGTCATTAGAGAAATGCAAATCAAAACCACAATGAGATACCATCTCATGCCAGTTAGAATGGCGATCATTAAAAAGTCAAGAAACAATAAATGCTGGAGAGAATGTGGAGAAATAGGAACGCTTTTACACTGTTGGTGGAAGTGTAAATTAGTTCAACCATTGTGGAAGACAGTGTGGTGATTCCTCAAGGATCTAGAACCAGAAATTCCATTTGACCCAGCAATCCCATTACTGAGTATATACCCAAAGGATTATAAATCATTCTACTATAAAGACACACACACACGTATGTTTACTGCAGCACTATTCACAATACCAAAGACTTGGAACCAACCCAAATGCCTATCAATGACAGACTGGATAAAGAAAATTTGGCACATACACATCACAGAATACTATGCAGCCATAAAAAAGGATGAGTTCATGTCCTTTGCAGGGACATGGACGAAGCTGGAAACCATCATTCACAGCAAACTAACACAGGAATAGAAAACCAAACACCACATGTTCTCACTCACAAGTGGGAGTTGAACAATGAGAACACATGGACACAGGGAGGGCAACTTCACACATCAGGGCCTGCCGGGGCTGGGGGGGCTAGAAAAGGGAGAGCATTAGGAGAAATACCTAATGTAGATGAGGGTTGATGGGTGCAGCAAACCACCATGGCACATGTATACCTATGTAACAAACCTGCATGTTCTGCACATGTATCCCAGAACTTAAAGTAGAATAAAAGAAAAAAAAAGAAAATTGTTTGTCAGTTTTTTAAAAATTAAATATAAATGTCCCATGCAGAAGAACTGCAAATAATTTATGAAGCCACTGCCAAATTCTACCAAACTTATAAAGAAGAACTAACACCAATTCTCCTCAAGCTACTCCAAAAAATTGAAGGAGAGGGAATTCTCCCTAACACATTTACAAAGCTAGCATTATCCTAATACCAACACCAGACAAGGACACAACAAAGAAAAGAAAATATCCAATGTCCCTGATGAACATAGACACAAAAATCCTCAATAAAATGCTAGCAAACTGAATCCAACAGCACATCAAAAAGATATACATCATGATCAAGTGGAATTTATCCCATTCATGCAAGGATAGTTCAACATACCCAAATCAATAAATGTGATACATCACATCATGACAATGAAGGACAGAAAGCACATGATCTTCAAATTTAACATCCCTTCAACAGACTAGGCATAGAAGAAACATACCTCAACATAATAAAGACCATAAATGAAAAACCCACAGCTAACACCACATTGAATGAGGAAAAGCTGAAAGCCTTTCCTCTAAGAACTGGAACAAGAAAAGGATGCCCATTTTTACTACTTCTATTCAACATAGTACTAGAAGTCCTACCCAGAGCAATCAAGAAAGAGAAAGAAATAAAAGGCATCCAAATTAGTGCAGAGGAAGTCAAATTGTTCCTCTTTGCAGATGACATAATCTTATAGCTAGAAAAATCTAAAGACTCCCCCAAAAGACTCTTAAATCTGATAAATAAATTCAGTAAAGTTTCAGGATACAAAATCAACATTTAGAAAATCAGTAGCATTTATATACACCAATAACAAATGAGCTGAGAAAGAAATAAAGAAGGCAATCCCATTTACAGTAGCTACAAATATATATATACACACACATATATATACACATATATATGTGTGTGTGTATGTTTATTGCAGTACTATTCACAATAGCTAAGCTATGGAAGCCACCTAAGTGCCCATCAGCAGATGAATGAATCAAGAATATATGGTAATATATGGTATATATACATATTGAAAGGTTTAATTGGTCATAAAAAAGAATGAAATCCTGTCATTCGCAGCAACCTGAATGGAACTGGAGGCCCTTATGTTAAGGGAAATAAGTCAGGCACAGAAAGATAAATATTGCATGTTCTCATTCACATGTGGGCGCTTAAACAGTTAATCTCACGGAGATAGAGAGTAGAATTATAGTCACCAGAGACTGAGATGGATGCATGTGGGGTGTGGGGGATAGGATCAAGGAAGAGAGGTTGGTTAATGGATACAAACATACAATTAGGTAGAAGGAATAAGTTCTAATGTTTGAAAGCAGAGTAGGGTGACTGTAGTTAACAAAAATATATTGTATATTTTGAAACAGCTAGAAGTCTTGAAATGTCCCCCAATACATAGAAATGATAAACACTCAAGGTGAAGGATATCCTAAATACCCTGATTTGATCATTATATGATCATTATTTTGTTGCTATCCATGTAATGAAATAGCACGTTTAACCCGTATGTCCATATATTATGTATCAATGTTTTAAAACTGCATTGAGTGAAATTAGCCAGATACTGTATGATTTCACTTACTTAAAGTTAAGGAATAGACAAAATAACCTATAGTGATAGAAATTAGAAGAGCAATTGCCTATTTGGGAGGAGGGCAGGGAGGGAGGAGATTGACTGGAAACACATGAAAGAATGTTCTGGGGTGATAAAAATGTTCCACCTCTTGTTCTGGGTGGTAGTTACATGCAGTATTCAAATTGTCAAAATTTAGCTAACTGAACACTTGCAATCTGGAACAGGACTGTATATAAATCATACTTACCTTGTTTTTTAAAAGAAAATCCTAAATCCAGCAGTCAAGGCAGGATTGTGAGATCATACAATGAATGTGGCTACTTCTAAAATGTCTGATTGGCAAACAAGCTGAGAGAATGCTCCAGGGAGTCACTGCCTGGTAGGCTTCATTTCCCTCCTATACTGGAGGGGCTGCCAAGTGCAAGTCAAAGTCAAATCGTTAGAATGCCGCTCCTGCAAAGCCCAGAAGGAAGATCTGGGGTTTCACTTGTATACACAGACTCCGTACAAAATCGCCATGCACTGTTCTTCAACTTTATTCCTGCATATGACTTTACTATTACGTTATTAAAACTCTGGTCAAACTTAGCCAAATGGTCACCTGAATTACTCTAGCACAGACAACTATGGCATAAATCAGACATAGCTCTTTCAGAAGTTGGATCATCTTCCAGGATACAAAATATTGGAGTCATAAAGAACTCAGGGTTTACAGGGACCTTCAGAATGGACCCCTCTAGCTTTAA